AAAAAAAAAAAAAGTGTTGGGTGTGCTCTGACTGCTCTACCAACTGTTTCGTTCTCCTTGGGCCTCCCTATTCCCTGAGCCACAACAATATTCAAATTAGGCAAGTTAATAGCCCTGTAGTGGCTTCCAAGTGTTCAAGTGAAAGGACCATCTCTCACATTAAATCAAAAGCTAGAACTGATTAAGCTTAGTGAAGAAGACATGTGGAAAGCCAAGATAGGCTGAGCTATGCCTCTTGTATAAACAGGTAGCAAAATTGTGAATGCAATGGATAAGTTCTTGAAGTTAAAAATGCTACTGTAGTAAACACAGGAATGGTAAGAAAGTAAAGCACCCTTATTGCTTATAGAATGATGAGAAAGTAAAACACCCTTACTAGAGAAAGTTTGAGTGGCCTGAATAGAATATCAAACCAGCCACAACATTTTCTTGAGCCAAAGCCTAATCTAGAACAAGGCCCTAAATCTTCAATTCCTTGAAGACTGACAGAGAGGTGGGGAAGCTGAAGAAGAGGTTGGTGCATGAGGTTTCCGGAAGGAAGCCATGTCCATAACATAAAAGTGCAAGGTGAAGTAGCAAGTTTTGATACAGAAACTGCAGTTCTGAGTTATCTAGAAGGTCTAGCAAAGATCATTGATGAAAGTAGCTGCACTAAACAACAGATTGTCAAAGTAGATGAAACAGCCTTCTATTAGAAGAAAAGGTTATCTAGCACTTTCATAGCTAGGGGCAATATCAATATCTGTCTTCAAAGGACAGGCTGACTTTCTTATCAGGGGCTAATGCAGCTGGTGACTAAACTGGAGCCAGTGCTCATCAACCATTCTAGAAATCCTAGGCCCTTCAAGAATTATGCTGAATCTGCTCTGCCTTTGATTTACTGGCTATTTTAAGCCCACTTAAGACTTAATGCTTAGAAAAACATTTATCTCAAAATATGATTGCTCATTGACAATGTACCTGATGGAGATAGGTAGATGCACTGATGGAGATATACAAGGAGACAAATGTTCTCATGCCTGCTAACACAGCATCCATTCTGCAGCCGATGGATTAAGCAGTAATTTTTACTTTCTTTTTTTTTTTTTAAGACAGAGCCTCAAGCTGTCCCCCTGGGTAGAGTGCCGTGGCATTACAGCTCACAGCAACCTCCAACTCCTGGGCTCAAGCGAGTCTCCTGCCTCTGCCTCCCAAGTAGCTGGGACCACAGGCGCCCGCCACAACGCCCGGCTATTTTTTGGTTGCAGCCGTCATTGTTGTTTGGCGGGTCCGGGCTGGGGATTCGAACCCGCCACCTTAGGTGTACGTGGCTGGCGCCTTAGCTGGTTGAGCTATAGGCGCCGAGCCAATTTTTACTTTCAAGTCTTATTCTTTACGAAATTTTATAAGGCTCAGCACTTGTAGCTCAGCTGCTAGGACTCCAGCCAGATACACTGGAACTGGTGGGTTTGAACCCAGCCTCGGCCTGCCAAACAACAGTGACAACTACAAGAGAAGAATAGCTGGGGGGCAGCACCTATGGCTCAAGAAGTAGGGCGCCGGCCCCATATGCTGAGGGTGGTGGGTTCAAGCCCAGCCCCAGCCAAAAACTGCAACAACAAAAAAAGCTGGGCATTGTGGTGGGTGCCTGTAGTCCCAGTTACTTGGGAGGCTGAGGCAAGAGAATCACTTAAGCCCAAAAGTTTGAGGTTTCTGTGGCTGTGATGTCATAGCACTCTGCCCAGGGTGGCCTGAAGAGATGACTGATTTGCTGCAGTCTCATCAAATTTGAGCAGGTGAAGAGTTGGCTCTTACGAATAGGAAAAAAGTTGGTTTCTTGAGATAGACTCTGTACCTGGTAAAGATGCTGTGAACATTGTTGAAATGACAATAAAGGATTTAGGATGTTATATAAACTTAGTTGATAAAGCAGCAGCACGGTTTAAGAGGATTGACTTTTTGGAGACAGAGTCTTACTCTGTCTCCCTGGGTAGAGTGCCATGACGTCATAGCTCATAGCAACCTTAAACTTTTGGGCTTAAGCTATCCTCTTGCCTCAGCCTCCTTAGTAGCTGGGACTAAAGGCGCCTGCTGCAATACCATCTGCATCTCTTTAGAGATAGGGATCTTACTCTTGCTCAGGCAAGCCACCTGACTTGGCCTCCTAGAATGATGGGATTACAGGTTTGAACCACCATGCACAGCTCTGACTCTGGTTTTTAAAGATAGGTTCTGTGAGTATAATGTTGTCAAATAGCATCACATACTACAAAGAAATATTTTGTGAAAGAAGGAGTTCATCAATGTGGCAAACGTGATTATTGTTTCATTTTAAGAAATTAGAACAGCCAGTCCAGTCTTCAGCAACTACTACCCTGATCAGTCTAGCAGCTATCAACACTGAGACAAGATCCTCCACCAGCAAAAAGATGACTTGTTGAAGGCTCAGATGATTGTTAGCATTTTGGGGCCATAATGCATTTTAAAATTAAGATATGTAGTGTTTTTTTTTTTTTTTTGAGACAGTCTCACTAGGTTGCCCTCAGTAGAGTGCCATGGCATCACAGCTCACAGCCTCCTTAAACTCTTGGGCTTAAGTGATTCTCTTGCCTCAACTTCTCAAGTAGCTCTGACTGCAGATGCCCACCATAACACCTGGCTATTTTCTTGTTGTAGTTGTCATTGTTGTTTAGCTAGCCTGGGCCGGGCTTGAACCTGCCAGCCTTGGTGCACGTGGCTGGCGCTGTAACCACTGTGCTATGGGTGCTGAGCCATGTATATCTTTGTAGACATAATGTTGTTGCATGCTTAGTAGACTATAGTATTGTGTAAATTTAACTTTTATATTCACTGGGAAACTGAAAAATTTGTGACTCACTTTATTGTGATACTTGCTTTATGGTGGTGGTCTGGGACTAAATCCTCAATATTAAGGTATGCCTGTATTTGGAACTGTATTGCAGGATAGCAAAAAAGAATGGACAGTATTAGTGCAAAGCTGTTGGCCATTTGGCTGCCCAAATTAGAGAAAAATATGTAGGAAAAGATTGTCATTTTCATATAACTAAGTGCTTTTCAAACTGTATTTGAACAAGATTGTGTAAGCACAAAGAATCACAATATAATGAATAAAGGGTAATATTTACCATTTGGGGATTACCTTTTACTTAAGACATAAACTTTTCAATAAATGAACTATTTAAAATCTATTCACTTAAGATACCTGTTGAAATTTTGTTTAGGTATCTGGCCAGGAACAGTCTTCACGGGGACAAAGAATTTTATCTATTCCAATTTGGCCCCCAAACCTAGGTATCTCACAGAACTGTGTGTATGAGGTACAGCAGGTACCAAAAGTAGAAAAGACAGGTAAGTGTTTGCAGTACATTCTGGCAGTCTGCTGGGTAATACTGTTCCCTTTGAAGATATGAAACTAAATTTTTAAAAGAATAACATCTTAAGGATGACTATTCATATAAAGAAATATATAGTTATTCATTCCTTTCTGTTTTTTTGTTTTAGAGCTCTAAATTTTACCTTTTTAAAGTTCCAGAATTATTTGTGCATGATTTATTTGCATGTTGCTTTGGAATTGTTTGTATTTTATTTTTTTCTAATTCTAGCGACCATTGAAATATGTAGATTCCAGGATAAAGCATTTAACTAGGCATCTACCTAATCTACATATGTCTTAAATACTATTTCTAGAGTAAGACAACTATACTAAGGCTAACTAGAACCAAACCATATTAACAGTGATAATATATTTCTCTCTGTTCTGACAGACAATAATCTGGCACAAACAGAGCTGAAGAAAACAGAGGTCCTAGTGACAGCTGAAAAGTGAGTTCTGGAAAGCAACAGTAGATATTTGCTGACTGTGGTTGAATTTAAAAAATCATTTCTCAAAAATCACATGGATGAAAAATACAGATGATGATAGTGAAGAGTGCTGGTTCTTTTTTTTTTTTTTTTTTTTTTTT